GGGCCGGTGGGCGGGGCAAGGTCCCGCCCCTACCAGTGCGGGGCGGGGCCCTGCCGCCAGGGCGGGGTCAGGTGCCCCTAGGTTCCCTGCAGCCAGTCTGGACTATTCGCCTCTCCTCGCGACTGGGGTGGCATTTTCCCGCCTAGTGACTTTAGCTAAGTCCTCCTTTCCAGGGCCGGGTCTGCCCCCAATAAATGGGCAGAGGCTGCTCACCTGCCCTCCCCCGACCCCAGGACTGGGAGGAGATGACCCAGTTTTCCAGGGAGACCCCTCCTGCCTCCGCCCACTCTGCCAGTGGAGTGCGGGGTGTGTGTGGGGGGGATGAGCTGCGGCAGAGGAGGAGCCAGTGCCTAAGGACAGGCCCTTCGCACTGGCAGCAGGTGCGCATCCTGGCTGGGACTCAGTTTCCCCTTGCTGTGAAACAGGGCGGGTAAGGCTGTAAAGCCATCTCTGCACGGCTCTCGGGTCTCCCAGATTCCGCCTCACACCCCTGCCCAGCTCCCACCCAGAATGGTTCTCCAAGGACTCATCCCCACAGAGCTCAAGGGGACCCTGACGACTCCCGGCTGGAAAAGCCACAGTGCGTCTTGGCTTCTCCGTCAAAGCACAGAGGCTCAGGGTGGTCTTCCAGCCCGCCTACCCTGCAGCCTGGCATTAATGCGCCACTCCGCCGAGAGAGGCAGGTACAGGGAGAGGCGAGGGCCATCTGCCTGGGCTGACCCTGTGGAAGCAAGCCCGCGGCTCCAGCACCATGAACAAGGGAACAGCTCTGAGATGACCAAAGCTGGGGCCAATGTATGTGTGTATGTGTGTGTGTGTGTGGGGGGGGGTCCCACAAGAGGAGGGGCTCAGGTGAGGCCCACCTCTGCTGCTCCTCTAACTCAGAAAACTAAGCCTCTCCTGGCGCCACCTCTGCTTCCAAGATATGTGATACAGAGGCCACTCTGGGTGCCAACCATGTGCCCCTCTGAGCCTCAGTTTCCCCACCTGCATTGGGGCGAGCTGCCCTGACTACTGACTGGCCCTTGGGTGTCTTCCACCCCTGGCAGTCCCATGTGGGGCCACGCAGGAAGCAGAAGGATGAGGATGCTGCCCGGAGGGATACGGCCCAGGTCTTAGGTTTAAGCTGGTTCTGTCTTCTTCCCCATTTCACCAGCTGTCGCTGTCCCGGCCACGCTGGCCAAGCCCGAGACGAGTCCAACAGCCCAGCTGGTGGGGCCTGTTATTGGCGCACCTCCCCACCGGGTGAGGGTAGCCCTGCTCTGACTGGACCTCTGGAAGGGACCTTTTCTGCTGCAGAATGAAGGCCAAGTAACCAAAACCGGGGGCCAGTGCTGCGGCTGCATGAGTAGTAGCCTCTGGCCTTGGCCCTGCCCCGCAGTGTTCGCTACCTGCCTGGGCACTGGCCCTGAGTCTCAAACCTCCCAACCAACCTCCCGCTCGGACCCAGTGGCTGAGCAGGTAGGTCTCTAATTCCCCGCCCCCCCTCCCCCCCCTGCTGAGGCTAACCTGGGAAGCAGGTCTGGCATCCAGGCCGGGCCCAGCCAGCTACACGGGCCCAGCCAGCTACACGTCCCCTGCCTTCCTCAGCACCCGCTTCCGCCTGGCTGGTTCAGCTGCGGCCCTGGGAACAGGGCTGTTCTTCCCTATCCCAGCCTGAGAAAGCTAAGGGCACGCAGACAGGGAGGGGTGCGGGGGATACTCAAGTTCGAGCAGTCCTCAGCCCTCCAGGCTGTGGGAAATCCTCCTACCAGGGCCTTGACCCCCCGGGGTGCCGTCTGTCCTCCCACACTGCCTGTCTGTGGGCTGAAGCGCAGAGCCTGTTCCGGCCCAGGGCCAGACTGAGTGCCTGGCGCCTGAAGGGCGGCCGTGTGGGGGGGGGCTCCCACTGTCCCCATGTGGCCCAGCCAGCTGTTCTGCTTCCCCCTCGAGTTTGCAGATGCAGGCCTCGCCCTCTGGACAGCACGAAGTCTGGGAGCCACGGGGCTGGCTCACGCCCAGACCTCCCCATCTCCATCCCGGTTCTTTTGGTCTCAGCACCAGTGCTTGGAAAGAGAGGTCCCAGTGGGTCTGGGGTCCTCTGGAGACATAAATGTGGCCCTGGCTGTGCCTGGGCTGAGCCGTACCTTGAATGAGGATCTCGGGAGTGCTTCCAGGAACCGTCACCTGCCCAGTGGCAGGCCATGACAAGGCTCACCCTCAGCCCCAGGGCCCCCCGCGCCTGACAAGGCTGCTATTTCTGGGCTCCACACGCCCGGCTAGGCGAGGCGGGCCCCCTGGGCCGGCCTCAGCGGACATGGCAGGCATGGCTCCCTGGAGTCAGGGTCTGACGGGAACAGAGAAGGCAGGGGAGAGGGGAACGTGCAGTTGTCAGGGAGGTCTGGCTGCCAGGTTTAGGAAGGTGGGAGCGGAGCTGGGGAAATTGAGGGTCCTACTGCAGTAGGTAGTACCCGTCCCCTCTCCTCCTACCTGGCCTCTGAGCTGAGTGGTGACCAGGGACGACCATGGAGCGACAGGGCTGGGGACAGCTCTGGCCTGACTACCCTTATCCCTGCCTCAATCAGTAGCAAGAGCTACAGGAATCACCCCAAACTCTGGGTCCCCTGCATTTCCTCGGGGCAAGTGCCGAATGCTTCCGTCGCCCGATCTGCAAGCTAGGGCACTGAGGCAGGGGTGTCAGGGATCCAGGCGATCTCACTCCGGAGTGTACACCCCAACTTTTAGAGTTCTCAGGGCCTGGCCATGGGACAGACAGGGCTGCACACCTCCTGGGGCTGAGCAATGGCCAGTGGGGAAACTGAGGCCCCCAAGCCACAGTCCCAGCTGCAGGCGAAGCCTGGGGTCTTTCTCAAGCTTCCCCAAGGCCGGCTCGCCAGCTCTTGGGATGAAGGAGGGCAGCATGTCCAGGCTGACCAAGGGGGTGCCCAGGATAGCTCTGTCTGGATTCCTGGGCCCTGATGGCCCCCTCAGTGGAGGGTGCCATTCTTCATGTGGTGCCCGCCATACGCAAAGGGGACTTCTCTCTCCCTTGGGATCCCACTTTCCTTCCCCCCACAGAAGCTGCAGCAGGCCTTATGATAAGCCACTGCATGCTGGCTTGGGGTCCACTGAGACCCTCTGGTTGTTCCCCACCAAGTCCTTAGGCTGTTACCTGCAGGACCAACTGTTGCCAGGCCATCGGCAGGGGCTGCCCCCCTCCTGTGCCACTGCCGCCCATGCCAGGCTGCTGGGCACGCCCCAGCTGCAGGGCCACGTGGCGCCGCTCCTGCTCCAGTGCCCGCGTCAGCCGCTCGAAGCGAGCTTCCTGCTCCTTCACCGAGGCCAAGATGCTGGCGGCCGAGTGTACGTCACAGTCCTCCATGGCCAGGATGCCCGCCACCTGCAGACACAGCAGAACAAGCTCAGGGCGGGGTGGGGCAGCGGCCTGCTCAGGCCATCATGGGCCCCCTGTCCGCCCGGCTCACTCATCATACGACTCTCTCCCAGACCAGAGCATTCAGCTCTCTGGAGAGAGGCCGCATTGATTGCATTCTAAATTAAAAGCCATTAATCCAAGGCTGGCCGGAACCGGCCGGCTCACTCCCTGTGGGGTGCGGGGTTCTGACCTGGGTTCTTCCATTTCTTGCTGGGCCCAGCAGAACCATGGACTATGGGTAGCTCAGAGCCCTCCAGAAAGGGCAGGAAGAGCTGGTGTGATGAGCGTCCACTCCAGTCTCACGGAGCCTCCCAGCCCCACCTCAGAGGCAGACCCTGGGGCCCAGGGGGGTGCGAATCATCCGTGGTCACATCACCAGCATGGCAGAAGGCAGGGAAAAGCCACCCCACTGCTGCCACGTGCTGGGACACCTAGGCAGGGTGACCACCTCCTCGGAGCCACGGGCAACACCAGCCTGCGCCCGGTCAGGGTGCGGTCAGCCTTCACCTGTAGCCTGGGTGCTGTCTGCTCCACAAGGCAGAATGAAAACTGACAAGCCTGGTTAAGGTTCTGGCCAGGGCTGCAAGAAGTGGAGGGTCCCCATGCCTGGAAGTGGCCCACTGTGGGTGATTCCTGATGCAGAAGAGGGCGGGGGCCCTGGCGCGTGAGGCCCAGTGCTTAGGAAAGGTCAGGCCCGCCTGTTGTTCCCGAGGGCCCCAGAGCCTGCAGAGCCAGCGCTTTCCCCGCCGTGGCTCCCTGGCTACCCGGCGTGTTTGTTTTTCATGGGCAAAAAGAAGAACAAGTATGCAGAGCCCAGACCCAGCTCCCAGCGGTGGGCGGGGTACAGGCCACGCGGCCATACGGCCTGAGCTCAGTGTGTATGGCCAGGTGCCCGGGGCTGCCTGGGGCCTCCTCCCAGCTGGTCCCACGCCAGCCCGCGGACACTGCCGGGGCTGGCTCTCTCACCCCTGCACCAGCACAGGGCCTGAGCTCCCCCTGTGCACAGGGAGCGTGCACACACAGTGAGTGACACCCCCAGAGGGCCTCCTCTGCGGCCCAGAGCAAGGATAGAGCCTGTGAACAGGGAGGGCCAGGGCTGGGCGTGACCACACCAGTCCGGGCTGCTGGTCCCAGGGTATGAGTACATCTCAGTGTGCCCGGCCCCACCATGACGGCCAGGAAACTGAAGCCCGGCGAGGGCGGCCAGCCGGCAGAGGCCCCTGAAGCTGCTTCTCATTTCCCCAGCACCTGTCACACAAATAAAACTGTCAGCGTGACCCTGCAGGGAAGCCAGTGTGAACGAGAAGCTGTGTGAAGTCAGCCACGGCCGGAAGCGGGAACACAAGCCCTGCTGGGAGGAGTGGTGGTGCCGCCTGGGGCAGCGGGGCATGAGGTGCAGGCTGGGTCCTCCCGCCCCATGGCACCAGGGCAGCATGGCATGCCCACGGCCATGCAGCCCTCCCGGGCGTGCTTGCCACCACCTGCACACAGCCCCAGCCCAGGTGCAGACCCCGGGCCCGTGCACGTGTGGACTGGTCCTGGTGGCAGGCCTGAGGGAGCATGGGGCCCCTCCTCCCCGGGAGGGCCGGGGAGGGCAGGAGCCGGGTCTCCCGAGCCCTCATTTAGATCTTGGTGCAGCGTCAGCCCATCTCAGCTGGGCTTCGGAACAAGAGGCAGAGGGAGTGGGGGCCGGCTCTGGATGGTGACAATCAGGACCCACAGGGCAGCTGCTGGCCATGTGGACAGGAGGTGGCTCCTCTCCTGTGCAAGACCACACCACCTGCCCCACTCAGGCTTCGTCTGTACTAAACCCCCACCCCTAGGCCAGGCCAGGGCTGCAGACCCTGGGACAGCCTCCCTGCCCTGAGCACCTCCCCCTAACATGCTTCCACTCTGGGGTCAGAGGACATCCACCCTAAAGGGCCAATGGCTCCAGCTGGAAGCTGGCTGGGGGCCCAGAATTCAGAGGCCACCATGAGAAGGTGTCCAAACCCTACACTGACCTCCCACTGCCTGATTTGGCTCAATGGGAGCACAATGACAGCGTCTCCTGGGTGACGCCCCAAGCACCACCCACCCCGAGGGGTTAGAGTCCCAGCAGCTGCTCATGGAGATGCAGGGCCTGGGTGCTGGGACCCTGCTACAGGAAGCACCCTCCTTCTGCCCGTGGTGGGGGCAGAAAGCTACAAAGTTGTTTGGGGTTTTTTTGAGAGGTTTTTGCTATAGGGCGCGTGCGCTCGCCAGACAGACAAGAGGGACAGAAAGCGAGAAATCACCCCCCAGGGGGGATGGCCACGCCACAATCCCTTCTCCTCCATTCTCCTCTCTGGATCTTGGGCACGCACACACACATGCCCAGCGTGAGTTTTAAGCCACCGGGTCTGGGAC